AAATTACCCTTGTGGATGATGTGCATTCATGACACAATCAAAGCAGAGTCCTGGTTGAGTGGTTTTCATGATTTGCCCTAATGATCTATGTTGATTCCCTTTACGAAAAGCACAGGGTCCAATTACATATTTCTCCCATCCTGGGTTAAAGATGTCCTTCTAAAGGCCCGTTCTACCAATTTATAGGGGATATAAAAAAAGGATTTTCAGTAAAATGTACTTTCATTGGTTTTGATGAAAAGGGTTTGTGATGAAACTAGAATCTCTAATAAGCATTTCATAAATGACTTGTCTTTCAAACTTAATATAAAACAGAATAAAATACGTCTCCCAAAGACCTCCTTGCTGCCCCACAGATTTAAAGTCCCCTGCTCTCAATCAATCAGGCCCAGGAACTCAAAAATCTCTAAAGAGGCAATCAAATATTTATCAGTGAAAGTTGGTAAAACTAAGAAATTATTTATGGCTCAAATTTTGAAATAGTCACACTTTGAAGGGGGAGGGAAAAAGCACCTGGTGGCAGCTACGCATTTCTCTTTAGGGCACACACTCCCAGATCTAGAACTCAAAAACGGGAAGGAAGTCACAGGTTTGAGGGAGTATTTTCGCAACTGGGTATTTAAGCCATTTTTCAGAAACACTGAGGGAGATGATGTTAAAGCTGTTTCCAAATTCCAATAAGTTAGCCACTTACCGACTAATTAATTATTTGGCAGGTAAATAATGCATCAAACCAAAACTTTGTCTAGCCCCCAGGGCTACCTGCAAAGCCTTTCTGTCAATACACAATTCTGCATGGCACAGCCTCAACTGAGAAAAATCTCCCCCAGAGAGTGGATTCATGGCAGCACCTTGCTTTTGATGTCTTTACCCTGAAGTGTGTGAGTCTCCTTTCTTTAAAAGGCATTTATGATAAAATACGACACACACACAAAAAAAAAAAGAAGAAAAGAAATAGGTACTTAGTCTCCATCCATCCTCTTGAAGTGAAAGACAAAAAATTATTTTTGAGTCAACACACCAATTCTTGTGTTTTATGATAATGTTGTATTTAGTTAAGCTTAATTTTCCTCTAATATTGTATTCGGAAATTTCCAAACAGAGGAAATGCTGAAAGAAATTTTCAGTGATCGACCTTATGCCCACCACCCAATTCTACCATTAACATTTTACTAAATTTGTTTTCTCATATATCTATCCAATTACCCAGCCCTCTATCCATCCTACTTTTTTTCTTTGGTGCACTTCAAATTCAAATAATTAAATTTAATTTTAATGTTGTTTTATTTTTTTTTAATTTTTTTAACGTTTATTTATTTTTGAGACAGAGACAGAGCATGAACGGGGGAGGGGCAGAGAGAGAGGGAGACAGAATCGGAAGCAGGCTCCAGGCTCTGAGCCATCAGCCCAGAGCCCGACGCGGGGCTCAAACTCACGGACCGCGAGATCGTGACCTGAGCTGAAGTCAGACGCTTAACCGACTGAGCCACCCAGGCGCCCCTTAATGTTGTTTTAAAGAGAGTAACTGTCAGCAAAGATATTTCATCCCATGTAAGAGAATTCTCAGATTGCACTTAGCGGGTTAAGAGCACAGACTGAAACCTCAAAGGGTTGGCTTGGAATTTGTTTCTGCTACTAACTGACTGTGTGACTTGGGACAGGTGACCATCTCCCTCTGACTCTGCTTACTCTCACCCTGCACACTGGAGGATGACCCTCATGGGGTTGCTTGTATGAGAATTTAAGGTAATGGGTGAAAGGTGCTTGCACTTCACAGCATTGGAAAAATAATGTGTTTGTGATGATTTTTTTCTACTCCTCTATAATCCTCTGAGATTAAGGATCCTGTCTATTGCCTTTTGTCCTTAGATCCCCAGCCCCTAGCATGGTGCTTTGTAAATGCAGATGCAGAATGTGTGCTCAGTGATGCGGATTGGGTTGAATTTCAGAGATCTGCCCACCTGACATGCAGCGAGTATGGATTCGTGGAGAGAAGCAAGCACAGTCCTCTCCAAAGGCATGAGACAAAAAAAAGTTCAGAAAATGAGGTGGGAGCAGAAGATGAGCCAGGGAAAATGTGGCCTGCAAACAAACGTATTTGTATTAAGTTTGGTGATGGAATGGAGTCCATCCGTGCCCTGTCCCCTTCCTTGGACCTCACCTTTTCAGGGCACACCAGCAGGGTTGCAACTGTCTCCCCCAGGCCTCAGAAAGCTGTCATGCTGGCACCCAGAACACAGGGAAGGCTGGATGTGCTGGAGAGTTTGTGCCTTTGTGAAAGATCCTCAACCAAAGACAGATGGGGTTGGTCTGTAAATACCCCAGCTTTCTCCCCCGTGGAATGTGCTTTCCACCATTCCCTAGCATGTCCCCTGGGGATTACATTGCAGTCACCTACAGTGGTAGTTGCCTTGATGAAGAGACCTTTCAGTTGGCTGTTTTCCTTCCTTGGATCACTTCCGTTCTCCCCACTCCCCTCCCTTACCAGTATTCTCTTCACCTCCTACATAAACTAGTTGCATTTGAATTCTTGTCTCAGGGTCAGCTTCTGGGGGAAACCAAAGTGAGGCCAGCGTCCTTATGCGTTCATAACCACAGTCTCTTCTTCATATGGCATTCTACACTCGTCTGATGTGCGATATTTATGCAGTTAGAGTTGCCTGACTCAGAGAGTTTGAGTGGGCGAGGAGGATGCATCTCCCTTCTCCCCACCTCCCCAGAACTCTCTGAAGATACCTATACACTGTCTCAGAGCTCAGCAGAACATCCCTTGTTAGCTCCTGGTGTGGGGCTGATGACGGTGAAGCATAAGACATGAAGAAAAGGATAAGGTGAATGGATACAACCAAGCATGCACGGAGGGAAAAAGTTCCTTTAAGGGTAGAAAGAGCATGGAGAAACCAGTAGCTGTTGCACGGCCATCCAGGTATTCCCAACCAGGTGGTGCTGATATTGTTGGTCCATCGCTACTCTGGAAGGAGGCCTGGTGTAGAACCCTCAGGGGTTCTCAACCCTGGCTGCACATCAGAATCGCCTGGGATTTAAAAGCAAACTGCTGATGCGTGGTCCCCACTTCCTGACCAGTTGAATGGATCTTGGGAGGCGGAGCCTGGCGTGTGTCTCTTAACTTCTCTAGGCAACTCTGATGCACAGTGAGGGCTGAGACCACCAGACTTACGTAAACGTCTAAAGAGCAAGGATGCAACTGGTATCTCTGAAATGGTTTGGGGGCAGAGCCTTGCAGCCTTGAGGAATCTGGTCCTTGGTGAGTGCCACTCTTGGCTTCAGGGACACTGACACAAGGGCCATCGCAGTGGTTAGGGCTGTCCACAGGGCAGGGCTCCTAAACCCCACCATCACCCACTTGGAACAGCTCTGCCCCCCTTTGTCCCATGTCCTGGACCCTTGGCAAGGTTTTGCTTAAAGAAAGTCATCTTTGGCACAGTGGTAGCTTCAAATCTCAAATATGGTGATTACCAGGACACTGGATTATTGATGCCTCTAATTTCCAACAGAAATAGATTTCTAATGGTCCAAATTACCTTCACTTCTGGTCCAGGTCACCATATAACACCCCCTTTGGCAGATCTTTCTGTGCCCACTGCTCGTAACCACTCTGCTCCCACAAATCATTCCCTATGAGGCAGCCAGAGGGTCCTTCAGTGTGTGCACACACACGCACACACACACACACATACCCCAGGGAGAACCTCCAGTGGCCTCTTGCTGTGTATACAATGAAATTCCCACTTGCCATGGTGTCTGAAGCCACTGTGACAGTCCAGATTCTCTGACTTTAGCTCTTACCACTCTTCCCCACTCACACTGCAGCCATCCAGATGTTTTGCTCCTCAAATACGCCTCGTTCCTTCCCACCTCTAGACCTTCGCATGTGCAGTGCCCTCTGCTAAGAGTGCCACTTCCCCAGATCTTGCTGTGGCTATCCTTTTCTCACCCCTCCAGTCTCCATTCAAACACCACGGTCTCGGACCAGCCTTCCCGGCCATGTACATGAACACTGCTGTTCCTCTACTCCCTGGCCTTGCCATTTACTCTCTTCCCCAAGAGCTGTTTCCGCTCCTCACAGAATTTATTATCCTCTGCAATTTTCTTGTTTGTTTATTTCCTCATTGAAATATAGCCTCCCCACTATAATAAAGCTCTATCACACTAGGGGCTTCTCTGCTGTTCACACCAATATTCACCCAGTCCCAATCTTGAAGTCTGGCATATAACAAGTGCTCCTTATTTATGTAACGAATGAGTAAATAGTTCAATAGCATCCAGCCATTAAGGTCATTCACTGAACTAACCACCACTGTTCAAATTCCAGGATGACCCAAAAATACGAACTGGTTTACATTTGATTCTCCATGTTGACTTTCCTACAGGGAGAGAATGTGTTGATGAAGCAACACCAGTATTTCTGCCCATTTAACAGTGAACATTTCTTCCTGGAAAAGTTATTCCCCTGATTCACGCGACAGTGTTTTCTGGGTCTGGCTAGTATGATTTAGTTCTTTTGATCTTAGTATGATCTTAGTTCTTTTTAGAGAGCTGACCCAGGGTGCCACTGGACTTACACATTTGAAAATTAGGATCTAAATTAGGCCACGTATCATACTGCTATACTGGTATGGTATGGTATGGCATGTATAGTATAGAATCTGGCTTGTTGCCTGGACATTATCTTAAAAGCAATGAATCTATTAACCAGGACATCTTCCTGACACAACTTTAGCATGTTTGTATGACACACAGCTTTCCAAAGCATGATATTCAGAGGTATTATTATTGTTGTTTTTATGAATTCCATTTTTTGTTTGTTTGATGGCTTTTGTCATTCTTTTATTGGCAAAACCATCTGGTTTCTTATCATAGAGGAATAGAGGCCAACTTCAGGAGGCCACCAAGACAGTCACAGTCATCTTGCCCTGTGTATGCTTTCTTCCTTATTAAAATGTGCCTTTGTCATGTCATTTGTATTTTGTATGACTTACCTTGCCAACGTCTCTTGGGAAAGGCTGTCTCTGATTCTCTGGAATTAAAATGGGAGATACCACGATGGACCTCTTTTGTCTTGGGACAGGAGAAGTTCTTGCAAATTTAAATATATCCTAAAAGAGAAAAAACCCAAAATCAATCGACTAAATAGCCCCACGGAAAGGATGTATCACTCTGCTCTGAGATATGGTTCCTTTGTTGCGAAAGCATAGGGCTGTTTGGACATTGTTAATTTTATTCTATCAAACCTCATTAGCGTTAGCAAGTACATCCTTAGAATCATACTAAAGCTGACATCGTGATTCACAATGACTACCATTAAGCTCTTTAATCCCATCTTCTGAATCGTTCTATTCACAATGTCAGTCTTGATTTATACATCCTTCAGTGCTGGGATATTCCCGTTCTTAATCTGCCAAGTGAGGAGATTATGTACCTTGTCACGAACCCCCAGAACCTACTGAATATAAAAGCTACTGGCCTTATGGCCAACTGCAAGGTGTTTGCACTCATAAATGCGTAGGGAAGAAGAGGCAATTGCTAAATTCCACACTACGCCAGGCATTATGGAGACTCCTAGTCCACATTTTGTCGAGGAATATTTGTTAATATTAGTGGGCCAACTGTTGGAATGCACCACCCATGGACTACACCCCCAACTTCAATGACTGGAACAACACTGTCAGGATTTCCACCCTATCTGTAATTTAACTATCAATGACATACATGTGTGCAAACCAGGAAACGTTGTATCATAATTTTAAATAAAGACCGGTATTGCTTTTCGTAAGAAGTAGGAAACACATGAAAATAAACACACTGGAGACAAAAATGAGGGTATTCAGCTTGAACTGGAATCTCAGGGGGGAAATCAGCTCCTCTTTCTAAAAGGAAAATAAGCAAGGGGGTAGTGGGGCATTAAAGCGTTGTTAGCACCAAGCTGAGACTTTCCCCTTGATCTGATCAGAGGACTGAAAGTGGAACATCATTTTCAGTATATAAACCAATCTCATTCAATGCCAGTACTAGCTGAAGTTATGTTATATATCATCCAAATCGTCTCGAACTTTGGATGACAAGTTCCTACCAAAAGGCGGCAAATGGTATTTAAATACCATCATTGATCCACACTCCACAAAACGATGTGTATATTTGCGTGTGCGTGTGCGTGTGCGTGTGTGTGTGTGTGTGTGTGGTGTGTGTGTATGTAGTTTTAAAGAAAAATCTATATAAGAAAAGTCAAACAGGAAACAAGATCAGCTAAGGCTAAGAAAGCTTCTATCATCTTTCTCTAGATTTTGGTGGCAGTGTAATCTGATGGTTGTCTTGTGGAACAAAATCGGGCAATAATTATTTACCAGGAATCTTATACATGTTCATACGCCTTCACTCAGTGATATCACTCCTAGGAATACATTCAAATGCTAAATTCAAAAGGAGAATAAAGCTATATGCAGGCAAGTGTTCACCAGACATTATTTATAAAGGGTAAACATGGCAAACAACTTAGACATTCAACTGCAAGACAAGGTTGAATTTGGGTCCATTAGCAAGAGACACTCTTAGATGGTTACCAGTAATGTAGGTGCAAAGACCATGTTCTAACCTCTAATACCACATTTGACTGAGCTCATAATCACCACCATAGACTACGTACAATCTCTTAAGTGTGCATTAGGCAACGTGCTGGGCACTTTACATGTGTTCACTCTAATATTTGCAATTAATATCTCTAGTAAATCTTGGTCTTCCTCAAACAATGAGGAATATCAAGTTTATTGAGGTGGCGGGGCTTGTTCAATTCACCTAGCTAGTAGAGGGAATATCTAGGATAAGATGTATAGGGAAACACAGAATGCAATATTGGGCATCTTCTCTTATATAAACATGGAAGAATGATATTTAAAATCTCAATGCATGAGTGCAAATAAAACTGTTTGGTCTCTGGGAAGACAAAATAATTAATATTCAGGTAAAGACAGAAAACCAGAGTGTGTATATGTAATGGAGAAAAAGTAAGAGGGGTTAAAACAACAACCAATCTGGGGCGCCTGGGTGGCGCAGTCGGTTAAGCGTCCGACTTCAGCCAGGTCACGATCTCGCGGTCCGGGAGTTCGAGCCCCGTGTCAGGCTCTGGGCTGATGGCTCGGAGCCTGGAGCCTGTTTCCGATTCTGTGTCTCCCTCTCTCTCTGCCCCTCCCCCGTTCATGCTCTGTCTCTCTCTGTCCCAAAAATAAATAAACGTTGAAAAAAAAAAATTAAAAAAACAAAAAAACAAAAAAAAACAACAAATCCACCCACCCAACCAACTACCACCAACAAAATAACCCGGCCTAACCAAGCAAAAGACAGGCTAGAAAAAGAGAAAATTAAATAGACAATAATAAGACAATGAAAAACAGTGGATTATATTCACAGAACACTGACATATAACATCTGGGAAGATTCTGCTGGTTTACTAGGAAGTACCAAAAGAATAGAAAATATGTAAAATGTGTACAACATATGAATCTCATTTACAATAAAAAGAATCTTGAGGTTCAGATGAGAGAATGTCTCAGAAAGCCCTCTTAAAAGATTTAAAGTCCTATGCAAATATAAAGAATAGGTGATTTGGCTCTGTGACACAGCAAAAGGAGGCTTTAGTTCATTATGAGAATATATGTGCAAATGTGTCTAAAGTAATGAAAAAGCACACTGTGTCGTCAATAACAAACTTTCCATTGTTTGTAATAAAGGCCTTATTTGAGTTTGCAGGTCTGTTGAATGGGTGTTATTTTTGTTCTCATGAGTACTTAGGAGATCAGGCCCCTGAGTCCCCATTCCCACATCTGGTGTCCTTCTAGCTTATTATTAGCAAGTCAAGCCTGAAGTGGCCAGTCCATTTCCCCAACTCTCAAAGCAGCCCAGAGCTTAGCAACAAGCACAGCTATGTCAGCCCTTGGGTCAAAAATGCCTAAGAAAAGAAGCAGGAAGCTCTGAGCTCAAGATGGCAAAGTGTACGTAGAAGGGAACAGGGTAGAAGGTGGGAATGACTGATTTTAGAGATGTCTCCATGTGCACCGGAGTCCTCCATGGTGGGCGTGTTAAGGAATTGCTGCGGCCAAGACATATTATGTCACCCAACTTTTCGCCTTACAATGGCGGAGACCTCAACAAATACTTGTTGTCCATGACCGAGCTTTTATGTCAATAGGTCCGCTTTTGTCCTTGTGATATATGTGTATATCTAACTGTATTTGTTGACAAATGTCTACCTGTACACTTGCTTGCATGTCTAACTTTGATCAGGTCTGTGCTAAATGGTTTGTTGGTATGCTTTGAAGCCATGTGTTTCCGTGTGACAGGGACCATGTAGGAGCCATACCTCTGATGTGACTGACAATCATACACTTTATGCATATCTAGACAGATGTGTTGTATAAAAATGTTTATGCCTAACTGTGTGTGTTTGTATCTGTCAGTCCCTCATGTGAAGCCTTTGAATGCACCAGGCTGTGGTTGTAACCTCAAGGAAAGAAAACAGAAACAGTGGGGATAAAAAAATGCGACCAACCTAAGAGCTATTTACAGAAGGAGAAGAGATAAGGTGTGGGGAAGAATGGCACATCAGGGCAAAGGGGAAGCTGTCTGATGATCTCATGATGTCTTTTTTTTTTAATATTTATTTATTTTTGGAAGACAGAGAGAGTGAGAGTGGGGGAGGGGCAGAGAGAGAGGGAGACACAGAATCTGAAACAGGCTGCAGACTCCAAGCTGTCAGCACAGAACCCAGCATGGGGCTCGAACCCATGAAGAAGGGGATCATGACCTGGGCCAAAGTCGGATGCCTAAGCGACCGAGCCACCCAGGCGCCCAAAGACCTCATGACTTCTGATGTTGCCACTGCCAAGATAGTGGGCAAAGAGAAAAACAAAAAGACAAAAACGGCAGTTCTGGGTACAGGTGTTGCATGCTGTAGACAGGTAGACTTGAGGGGCTGTTGGATATCCCACAGAGATTTCTAGAGGAGGTATCACGAATTGTATTCGGGAGGGAGCAATGAGTGAGGGAGAGAGTTATCACAATCAACCACAAACAAGGGTAGCCGGAAGGAAAGGGAAGGAAAGGCAAAGCTGACATCATCCACACTATGTACAGAGGGAAGAGGCAGGAACTCAACCATTCACTGGGTTTCTGAAAAGGCCAGCAAAAGCCATAGAAAGATTAGGTGCAAAAAGGGAAAACCCAGAAGGATGAAGAGATAAGAATGTCAAAAAGGAAGGGGGACATGACCGTATCACCCAATGCAGACATCCCCTCCAACAACCCGAAAGCCACAAGGAGGCTGTCGGGCTTGACAATGAACAGGTATTGATTTTAGGAAGAGCAGCTTACCAGTGTGTTAGGGTCGAATTCAGGAATCAATGAGAAGTGAGGGCTTTGGTGCAGAAGGAAAGGAGAGCCTCGAGAAGGAGAGAAGGGACTTGGGAAGAAGTCTGTCGGTTCAAGGGGAGACCAGGAAGTGTGCTGGGCACGAGGAGGAAAGGGCTAGTGGAAGGAAGTCATAAGCATGGCTGCAGATGAGTGCAGAGGACAAGTGATGGGGGCAGGTGCCCCAACGAGGCGGGAAGGAGGGGATCAGCAGCAGTGAGCCCAAGAGAGGAGGATGGAAACTGCTTTCCTTGAGGACAGAGGGAGGTTGAAGGGGAATTTCTCATCTGTGAAGGAAGGTAATCTGCCCGTGCTCCTGATTATCAGAATGAAATGAGAAATTGTGTGGGGAAGCAGTCTGTGCTCTGCAAAGAACAGCACAAAAGTGAAGGATGGGTCTTATTAATACCAGGACAGGGATGTGAGGAAATGAAGACAAGCCACTCAGTCCCTTTTACGAGTGAGTAATTCAGCTGAGGGTGGCCTAAGGCCAGATCTTAACGCAGACACACACGGACACACAACCGTCTCTAGATTTCCAGACCCGTCAGACGCAGGCACACTAACATCAAAATCGGCGTCAAACACAAACACTCACACGTGCACGTGTACACACCCACAGACTCACACATGCTCATGAATAGATAACCACACAACAGCCACACATGACAAGCCTAAACCCAAGGACACACACAACACA